TTTCCCTCCGGAAAAAACGTGTTTATTTTCTGAGCTTCAAAATTTCTGGAAATTTTACGTCTCTATTTGTGGCTAACTCTTTTTTTTCTTTTTAAGAGCTAGGCTAAACTGGGGTTGAATGGAACGATCCCTGCATTGTTTCTCTTGTTATATCTGCTGCCTTTTATCAGTTCTCTGCTTCTTTCCCGGAACTCTGCTTGCTTGGAGACTTCTTTGTGTTGTACACATATCTCTTAGGACTGTTACATGCAGTTTATGTGGTTTATATATAGCAGTGATGGCGACCGAGTGCCCAAACTGCAACCCAAAACCCACTTATTGATCGCAAAGTGCCAACACGGCAATTTAACCTGAATCCTGAGGTTTTACTTTAGAAAAAACAACTCCTACATTAACTTAAGATGATCCAAACAAAGTAAGGAAAGCAATCCCAAATGCTTTCATTTACTTAAAATTATTTGGCAGAGAATTCGTCACTTTAATGATGGTCTGGGCCTGGCTGGGGCGATGGCATGCGTGCCCACAGAGAGGGCTCTGAGTGCCACCTGTGGCACCTGTGCCATAGGTTCGCCACCACTGATATATACAAAAGAATCATGATATAATGTAATCGTCTCTTCATAACATAACACCGTTATATGTTTTAATACATAATTTACAGGGTATTTGTAATAAGTTGTCGAAGGCTTTCACGGCCGGAGTTCATTAGTTGCTGTAGTTTTTCTGAGTTGTGTGGCCGTGGTCTTGGCATAGGACCTGATGTTTCACCAGTAGCTGTGACTGGCATCCTCAGAGGTATAACATAGAAAGATGGAGTACTCTCCGTGTCAAGGTGAGAAGAAAAATGGAAGGCAGGTAATTTATATCTACTCAGGAAGGTGGGGTAGGGCTGAGTCATTATCTCGTAGGAGTTCCCCAGGCTATGAACATGCTAATGGAGGAGCTTTCCTGAGGAGGTTCTTTTGTATATGGATTGTTTGCTGAGGAGGTTTCCTGTTTCCTGAGGAGTTTCTTTTGTAATAAATTTATATGCATAATGGATAACAGTGATTTATTGATACACAGAATTTATGGGGGGGTAATTGGCACAAGGAGACAGCACAGGGCTGTAGCCAGGATCTTTCAGTTTGTGGGGCAAATTTTTTCACGTATGGCACACTCACACACTCTTCAGCCAGAATAAACAATGCATCCTCAGAGAGAGAAAGAGAGAGAGAGAGAGAGAGAGAGAGAGAGAGAGAGAGAGGCACAAAAATTAAAATGAAATATTGGAAGCTTGGGTTGGATGGGAAGTCAGCTGGGCGGGCCCCGAGAGGCCCCACTGTAGCTATGGGTCCGAGACAGCAAATGGCATGGAAATAAAAGTGTCACAGGTCCGGGTGTGGAAAGGAAGTCCTTCTTCACCCAAAGAGTGATTAACACATGGGATTCACTGCCACAGGAGGTGTTGGCAGCTACAAGCATGGACGGCTTCAAGAGGGAATTAGATAAGCATATCGAGCAGAAGTCCGTCAGTGGCGATTAGCCACAAGGTATAGATAGGAACTCTGGGGCAAGGGATGCTCTGTATTCTTGGTGCTTGGGAGAGGGGGGCAGTGGGAGGGCTCCCAGTGTCCTGGCCCCACTGCTGGACCTCCTGCTGGCCCCTGGTGTTTTTGGCCACTGTGTGACAGAGTGTTGGACTGGATGGGCCATTGGCCTGATCCAGCATTGGCTTCTCTTATGTTCTTAAGGGATCGGCAGAATTGAAACCGGATTTTCTATTCCAGACTTCAGAGAGAAGAGAACGGAAACCTTTCTGAATCTAAATTCCTGGAAAGTGGGTCTGGCGATGGCCATGAGCGTGAAATGGAACCTCCATGTCGACAGGCAGTTTACCGCAAAGACCTTTGGAGAAAAGCAACAGAGAGAAGCCACCCAACCCCCACCAGGAGACCATCAGTTTCACCTGTCCTTGAGGATAGTCAATTTCACCTGTTCCTGGGGATTTGCAGGAAGAAGTCCTACCAAAATGCCAATTGCAAGTTCGGTCACTCTACAAGACAGCCCCTTCCTACCTCAGAAGCCTTTTTGTCCGTTCCCCCCCCCCATCCCCCTTTGCTGTGTTTACTCTGCTACACTTGGAATATATCTCTGACTCGATGGAGTTACCATCCATCCGAGGCAAGCAGCTGTACTGTCTCAATGGCCCTTTTGTATTCCATGGCCACACGGTTTATTAACCAGTTCTGTCCCAGGCAGGGTCCGTTCCTTACATTTGCCCTTCTGGAGAGCTATTTTTTTTGGGGGGTAAACAGCTGCCGCCTCTCAGTCGAGCTGCCAGACCTTTTGCCAGAGATTAGAACTGAAGCCCGGAACCTGGTTTTGCACGCCAGATATTGAAAGATGGCCTTTGAGCCTGTGTCAAAGAATGGCTCATCCCTCCCCGCTCTGAACAACCAGGCCTAGTCGGTGTTCGAGGTGCAAAAGAGTTTCGTTTCACGTTTCCAAAGTTTTGTTCATGTTCACACGCCCTTGTGTTCTCGTTATTACATTTGTTTTCACTGCAAAGAAGTATATTTTTCATGCTGCTAGGTACAATGTCACATCCCTGCACTGGCAGGCAAGACCCGCCACCATTTTTTAAAATAAAAAGTGTTTTAACATTATAGCAGTTCCTACAGATGTAGAATCAGAAAGCACCTCTTTCAGTGCCTGAGCCGACAATGTTTGGTAAAAACATGGGGGAAAGGTGGACCTGTCAGCAGAATTCTCTTTTGTTGCAAGATCTGTTTAATTGCGCTGGTTGGAAAGTGTAGATATCAGTTCTGTGTCCTCTGCTTGCATCCCCACTGTGACGACTGGAGAGCTTCCATGTCAGTTGCACATCTCCTCTCTCTTAACCCTTTCTCTCTCCTGGCCTTCTTGTACACTCCAATACTGGTATTCTCAGATAGCCAAAGAGGCACATTTAAATCCATGTAGTGGTTAAGAGTGTCAGACTAG